CGACGCGAATGGCCGTTCGGCCGATCTCGAACAAAAAAAAAAAAAAAAAAAAAAAAATCCAAAACTTTTGAGAAAAATATATGTTATGCAGAAGAATAAGCTAAACAACATTGCCTCAACGTTTTATCCAAATTCTATACCAAATTTGAAATAAAAATCAAATATTAAAAATAAATAATAGTAAAAAAAATTAGAATAAATAGAACGAGAATGAAATTATTGAGTGGGCGAGTACATTTTTGACACTGCCATCTGTAGCGATTTTTTAGTTTTTTTTTTGGCTGTGACAATGCCATGAAAATTTATGCATGTGTATCTTGCATAATGAACAATCTACAAATAAAGTTTGAAAAAATAAAAATATTTTTCATGCCACGAAATAAAGGAAAAACAAAAAGTGAAAAGAGAAAAAAACAAATTGGTAAGGAAGTTTGCATTTTCATTTTTGTTGGGATAAACATTGAACAGAATGGCTTGAAAATTAAGAGGGGAATACCTTACATCACAGACACCTTACAGAAAACATTTCAGAAAAAAACAATAATATTTAGGTGTCGAAATAGTTTTTTGCGGGGTCGGTATCCCTTCCTTTTCGGGCCATGGGGAACCGAACGCCCGAACGTTCGGCGGTCAGCTTCAGGGCCTCTGTAAGTTCGACTTGGCAACCTTGTACAACCCTGTATTTTTTATTTTGTTTTTTGCTTCGTCTTTGCCCTTGAATCAATTCATCGCGGTTCGCAGTGAATTGTGGTAAACAGACATTTCAACGTCGTGTGTTTGTGTGTGTGTGTGTGCATGTGTGTGTGTGTGTGTGTGTGTGTGTGTGTGTGTGTGTATGCGCGTGCGCGCACGTGTGTGTGCAGTGTGTATGCCAATCAAACATAAGAACAAAGAATCAAACACACTTTTTTTTCTCATTTTTTCATTTTTTCTTACTTTTTTTTTTTTTTTTCGATTCTGTAGGTAAAGAGAGAAGAAAAAACTAGGAATGTGGGCCAATACACCCTACATCGAAAAAAAAAAAGAAAAAAAAAAAACATCTCCATTTTTTTTTTTTCCATATTTTTTAATTTTTAAAATTATAATCCAAGTTTAAAAAAAAAAAAAAAATACAACCCTGTTTTTTTGGTTTTGTTTTTTGGCTAGTTTTGACCCTCAAAACAATCATCGCGATTCTTGGTCAATCGCAGTAAACAGGCATTTCAGCGCCGTTTGACCTCGGTTTCAATGTGCGCCGAAAGATTCAACGAGGGACCCGCGTTGAATCACTTTCCAGACACTCGGATTTTCGAAGCGGGGAAAGGTACTGATGGTTTATGGTCCCATGCACGAGTGAGCATAATAGTTTTTATGTTTTTATAACTAAGACTATATTCTTCTCTCAATTGTTTTTGCTTCACTACCTACCTATTGCTAAGGTTATATAGAGGGGACTCCTGCAAGCATGGTCACCTCCCACGGTGAATGGGATATTGCAAGTTGCCCCTTGCTCTAGTGGTTAAGGGTGAAGGGTTGGGGTCGCCATTAAGCAAAGACCGAGTATTTTGCCAGTGATTGCACCCCCGTTTTCATCATCCTCCACCCCTTGTGCAGTAGCAATAGTGTCTAAGGTCAACACTCTCCCACACACTATACAACCCACTCACGCTCACACTGTAGTTTACTGTTTTTTTTTTTTTTTTCCATTTCACTTTTCACTACCTACGTACCACAATGCTTAGTACACCTATCACCAGAGAAAATTTCTAGAATTAAATCATCATTCCATAATAAAATTACATTCTTAAATCTAAATTTTGATTTCATCTTAAAAAACATCATTTCTCTTTTAAAAAAAAAAATCTTATTTGAAAAACTTCCATTCCAAGAAATTCAATGTGGTATATCTTCTTGTTTGAATTGAATGGTCTGATAAAATGAAAGTCTTGATGAATTCATGAAAAATATTCATGGGACTATCATTCTATCATAAGGAATTTCTGTCATAAACCAGTTAATCCAATCTCAATTAGAAAACATTCGTTGTAGTAGAATGAAAGTTGAATTAACACATTTCATAAACTTCTCCCGACTTTCGTTCAATCTTCGACAAATAGATATAGTTGGAATACAAACTCATTTTGAGATGAAAACTTGTCAAATAAATTTTGAAATTTTAAAAATTGAAAAAATTTGGATAGATAATTTTTAAATATGAAGAATTTTTTTTTAATGGCATATTTTTTCATCTTTCATCTATTATGGGAATTTTTCTATTGATATAGGAAATCACTGCAAGCATAGTTATCTCTGACAATCAAGGGGATGCATTTTTTTTTTTACTTCTTTATTTTTACCCAGTCGAGATATGCTAGAAGGGGTTATACTAACAACCCCATCTAGCACGTTTGCAACTGGGTGTTCCAGTTTATTCGTGGCGACCTCCACCTGCTAGAAATCGGGTCCAACATCTCGTACATATTTCACTTGAGTCATGTCGTTGGAGCAATATGCCTGGTTTCGGCTTAGAACAATCTCACGGCCTCTTCACCAGTTTATGATCACCAAACAGACAAAAGTAATTGAAGTTGTGTCATGAAATTGTTGTCAGACCACCACTATGTTTCCCAACCTTTTTTTCAAAGTTGCGGCATACATGCAGCCATGAGTCTTGAGAATTACCAAGGCATCGCTTTGCAACATATCCATATAGAGGAAACATGTATGCGAGATCCATTTCGCATGAATGGATATGCAAAGAAACCGCGCCCCCGGTACTTCCTTAAAATTGTGCTTGTATACGAGATGCATATTTGATTTCTTAGTAGGGAAACGAACTTGTGGTTTAAGCTCTTGTAGAATGGGGGAGACAGATCAATTGCCTTCATACCACAACAGGTCCATCAATGATAGGTTGTGGTCAGGGAAGAAAGTTTGAAAACTCCAAGGGGGGTGCGCGTGGACCATTGCATCAACCTCGGTCCCGTCCTCGAATATTATGTTGTAGTCCTTTTTTGGCTTTCGTCTGTCAAATCGGTTATCGCTCGCTCATTTGATGCTGGCTACCTGGCCCCCATGATCCCCTTCCAACCAGTGTAGACCCCCGTACGTCGTACGGGGGTTCGCCGTACGACCCGTACAAACGGTCGTTCGGACGTTGGTACGATCGCACGGACGTTCTCTGTCCGTACCTGCCATGGGGATATGGGGGGGTCTGTGGGGGGGGTTGACACCCCGAGGAGGTAGGGGGCGCGGTAGGGACCCCCCCAATATTTATGAATTTTTTTAATCTATTTTATTTTTTGTTAAGAAATAAAATAATTATTGATTCAT